TGGTGCTGTGGCTCGAGTGGTAGAGCACTAGCCTTGAGCTGAAGAGCTGAGGGACATCACCCAGGCCCAGAGTTCAGGCCCCAGGACCAGACCCAAAAGAAAAAAAAAAAGAAACTATAGCTGATGATATACAGCATTAATGTATTATGTGCCAAATGTTTTATGTGCTAAGTGATTATCGCCTTCCTGGTAACAACTCTGATGATTACAGGTACTACTTAGGCTTTATTATAGAAGCCAAAAAAAAAAAAACACAAGGGGTTTAGTTTACCTGCCCAGGGTGACAGCCGGAATTCAGAGTTAGAAGTCAATCTAAATATCCCATCCATGAGGCAAAACTGCCTTCTCAACAAGTCAGGCTTTGAAAGCCTAACCAAATATCATTACAAAAGCAAGACAGGATAGGTTAGGACTTAATGTGTTTCTATTGTTCTGTATTTGTAGTTGGAATAAACATCATGATGAAGTAAAGAATTGGTGTTCTAGAGCCAGAGTTAAACCTGAATGTAAATCCTTGCTCTGTGCTGTCTAGTTGTCTCATCACCCATAAAATGTGAATAATAATATTGGCTCATAAGTAATACTGAGGATAAAATGAAGCCGTAGCTAGTGCATAAGACAGTAATAAGACAAATGCACACAGTCATTACTTGTTTTAAGATTATTATTATGGTACTTGTTTGCTATTGTTGACATCTGTTTTGAGATCCATATTTAAAGTCCTTCTGTTCAATTTAACTTTTTTCATGATTTCAGATAAATGTGTAGTAAACTTTGATGTATTAAATTTGTCATTGATAAATTTCTAGTCCTTTTACCTTCTTTATTTCATAACACTTATGAGCCCATTGGCCAACCCAAGAACTGAGACATAATTACATGTATGCATGTGTTCCCTCTTACTCTTTCTGCCTCTTTCTGTAGCCCCTATTCAATGTAACTACTGTCTTGAATTTTGTATTTTCCCTTGCCTTTTATAACTGTATCTCTTATGCATATATACCTAAACAATATTTGTTTCACTTTTAACTTTATAAAAACTATCATGTTGCATGTAATCTTTAGTACTTTTTTCTTATTCTGAGTCTCCATAACAAATATTTTACTATGTGTAATATTCCATTGCTTGAAAGCCATTATTCTCCTGTTAGTAGGCATTTCATATATCCACTTTAATTGCTTATGGCCATTCTTCTTATTTGTCATCGGCTTCATAAATTCATTTTGTAGACTTTGTTACCTAAAGTTACATCAAATAAACTGGAGCCTACAAGAGAAGTGGAAGAATATGAGAAACTAGGTCAGAATTCTCAACTTTAGCTCTATTGACATTTGGACCAGTTCAGTCTATTGAGAGGACCTGTGCATTTTAGAATGGTGGGCAGCTTCCCTGGCTTCTACCTCACTGGATGCTGAGGATGCCCCTAGCACTCCTCTCTCCAAAGTCCAGGTCCAGATATCATTAAATATCTGGGTAGATGGGGAGTAGAGACAGATTCTCCCCTGGTTAGGAACACTGATCGTGATAGAAGGAAAATAAAATGGAGAGAAATCCAAAAAGAAAGGAACTAAGTTCCCAGAAAGAAAAACAGAAGACTATTTAGAAATTGAAAAATAGGTAGGCACTGGTGGCTCATGCCTGTAATCCTAGCTACTCAGGAGGCTGAGATCTGAGGGTCGTGGTTTAAAAACCAGCCCAGGCAAGAAAAGCTGTAAAACTCTTATAATAAACCACCAGAAAACCAGAAGTGGTGCTGTGGCTGAAGTGGTAGAGCACTAGTCTTGAGCTGAAGAGCTGAGGGACAGTGCCCTGGCCCAGAGTTCAAGCCCCATGACTGACAAATAAAAAATAAAAATAGTCTTCACCTAAAGTATATTGTCTTTACAGAAATGTATTAAGTAGGTAACAGCATTATAAAACCTAGCAGATGTGCTAGAAATTACTTAGAATCCTGCCATTAAAAAGCCATTTTCAGAGTGGAAGGCTGGTAGAGTACTTACCTATCATGTTCAAGGACTTAGATTTGATCTCAATCCCTGTAAAAATGAAATAGGACAAAAAATAACTTGGGCCTATATTACCAGCTGATGCAGTAATAACTTTAAAGTGTTTAAAATATGCACACAGTTCATGGAGATGGGTGAATATAAATGAGGTATGCAAAGTGTTACTGAAATTACTTTTGAAGAATTAAAGTTGTATATGCTAATTTTCAGTGTGAAAAGACAGTTGAAGAAAAGAAAAGTAAATCTTGTGAAGCTGATATCTCCAGTGATCTTCGAAGAGAAATAGAAAATCATTATAAGCTTTCTCAGCCTGAAGATTTCTATCACTTCTGGAAGTTTTGTGAAGAACTTAATCCCGAAAACCCAGCTGGTAAGTTTCTTCATAATCATGGAACTGTCTCTACAAATGGAAAAATCAGAAAATTGGACCAAGCATACAAATAATTCATAGAAAAAGTATTTCTAATAGTTAAAAAAAAAGTTAATCTATTTCACTGTCAGCTATTGTATTGGCAATGACATATGATTTCATGATATTCTTTGTAAGGAGAAAAAAGTAGGGACAGAAAAGAGGACAAAAGAACAAGTCATAAAACAATCTGATGTATAGTAGTGGTAGATAGAGCATTTGCCTGCCTAGCACATGCAGAATCTTGGATTTGATGCTCAGCACAACAACAAAAACGGAATGAGATGGGAGAAAATCAACCATGCAGTCACTTTTAAAATATGTATTTATATCTTTCCTAGTATGGAAAGTTACTGCTGTATGCCAAAATTTTAACCTTGTTATCTTTGGCAAATAAGATAAGAAGTTCTAGTTTTCTTGTTGCTTTAAAACTTAGTATGTGCTACTGTCCTACTTCAGTTAAGCTGGAGTATTGTGACAAACTATCTCCATGCCTTTATTCATGTTGCCACTTCCTGAAAGGATTTTTTTTTTTTTTTGCTTTCTCCATCCATCCCTCATAATATAACAGGATCCTGCCTCAAGGGACTCAGGATTTCCCCTCTCTTAAAACGAAACATCAAGGACATATCAAAGTTGGACATTTGCATAGTGACTTTAAGGTTTTATTTGGCACTACACCTCTATAATCTATATTTGGAGAAAGAAGATGAAATTTTGAAGGGGTAGGGGCTGGCCAGAATCTAGGGAATCTGAAGTGGTAATTAGCTGAGGAATAGAGAGAAAGGAAAGAAATTTCTTTCTTTTTTAATCCACACTGTGTTACCTCTGTAGTCTCTCTCTTACTGTATATTTGTAGAGGACAGCATTGTCATACTGAGGCAGAAAATGTGCTTGTGGCTTTCTTATGATTGTAAGAATGCAAAACAGTCTTGCTTTTAGCAAAGATAAGGAATGTTTAAAATGTGAAGCTAAGTGGTAAATTTAAGAGGAAATCCTAAACATAATACCATATGTCTAATACTGATTTTTTTCTCCCATTGTGTATTGAGAACATCTTCCAAAAGATTTAATTTTTTTTTAATTTTATAAGCTCATTTTTACGATGTTCTTTAGAAATTGTTTACAAATGAAAAGGTATTATTTCCTGCTTGTGTCCTGAATAAACTTCATTTTCTTTATAGATTCACTTTCTACAAGCCTTGGACTTCGATTAGTGGGTCCTTATGATATCCTTGCTGGGAAACATAAATTAAAGAAAAAATCCATAGACTTAAATTTTAATCTTCACTGGAGGTTTTATTATGATCCTCCTGAGTTCCAGACCATTATTATAGGAGATAATAAAACTCAGTACCACATGGGATATTTCAGGTAAAGAATCTTCTCTAAAATATTGTCCTACTAGTGAGTATAAGTAGAGTCTACTGACATCACCCAAGGTAAAAGCCCATTTTTCTCTTATTACAAAATACATGAGCTATTATTGCTGTTATTACTTTTTTTTATTGTAAAGATACTATACAGAGGGTTACAGTTACATGAGTGAGGTAATGAGTACACTTCCTCTTGAACATTGTTAGCCCCTCCATTGTTTTCCTCCTACCATCCCCTCCCTCCCTCCCTCCCTCCTTTCCCCGAAGTTCTTTTTTTTTTTTGATTGTG